AACCCAATTTTTAAATAGGCCGGGTATCGGATATGATAATCTGTAAAATCCCCCTCGTATACGAATTCATTAAAGAGAATATAAATACATGAGGCTACATGGGCCAAATACATACAATGCGCTAAACAATACAAGCCTAAATACAACAATACTAAAGTATATCGTCTAACACCCCCCCCCCTGCTGTTTGATCGGGAGGGAAATTCCGAACGTTCAAACTGGTTTTGAAATCGTTAAAGAGCGCAGTCAGAAGGCCTTTGGTGAAGATGTCGGCATACTGAGCGAAAGAAGGTACGTGAAAAACTCAAACTGCACCACGAGCAACTAGATCACGAACAAAATGAATATCAATCTCGATGTGTTTCGTGCGCTGATGTTGCACGGGGTTTGACGTCATGTAAACCGAACTAACATTATCACAATAAACAATAGTAGCTTTGGTAGGAGGGCACCGAAGCTCTCGAAGTAAATTACGAACCCAACATGTCTCTGCAACAACGTTAGCAACACCGCGATACTCCGCCTCTGCACTTCACCTAGAAATGACCCCTTGTCGTTTAGACGACCATGAGATGAGATTATCGCCAAGAAATACACAATATCCTGAAGAAGATCACCGCGACACGGGGCACCTGCCCCAGTCGGCGTCTGAGTAAGCACGAAGATCAGACGTCGGAGAAACATGAAGTTGTAGTCTGTGGTCCAAGGTACCTCTGATATAGCGTAAAATGCGCTTGAGAGCATGTAGGTGAGGCTCCCGTGGGTCATGCATCAATAGGCAGATATGCTGAACAGCGAAGGCAATGTCCGGCCGAGTAAAAGTAAGGTACTGAAGAGCACCAACCAAGCTGCGAAATAGAGAGGGGTCGGCAACAGGAGGACCAGTAGCATCCAACTTATGTGTGGTTTCGGCTGGTGTGCGAGCAGGATTACACTTACTCATATGGGCCCTGTCAAGAATCTCAGATGCATACTTCTGTTGGGAGAGAAAGAGACCTTGAGACGATCGGATGACAGAAATGCCTAGAAAATAGTTGAGAGCACCAAGATCAGTCATGGCAAACTCGCGTCCGAGGTGAGATATGATGGACTCAAGCAGAGATGTAGATGATGCAGTCAACACAATGTCATCAACATATAGTAATAAATAGGCGGTATCAGCTCCATGATGGTAAATGAATAGGGAGGTATCCGTGAGACTGTGGTTAAAACCCATTCGAAGAGCCTGTTGAGCGAATCGTTGATACCAGGCTCGCGGGGCTTGTTTAAGACCGTATAACGATCGCTGAAGATGGCATACATAATCCAGATGCTGAGGGTCCCGAAATCCCGGTGGCTGGTGCATGTAAACAGTCTCGTGAAGATGGCCGTGAAGAAATGCATTCTTCACATCAAGCTGATGAACGGGCCAATGCCTGGAAATAGCCAAACTAAGAACAATACGGATAGTGGCCGGTTTGACTACCGGGCTGAAAGTCTCATCACAGTCGACTCCCTGTTGTTGACCGCGACCATTTGCTACTAATCGTGCTTTATAGCGAGATAAAGAACCATCAGCATTAAACTTCTATTTGAATAGCCACATAGAGCGAACCACATTGACACCTGGTGGACGTGGTACAAGGACCCAAGTACCGTTTGTAATAAGATCATTATATTCCTCGTTCATTGCTTTATGCGAATTTAGATCTTTCAAAGCCTGTATATGTGACCGAAGGACAGATGAGAGAGATGAGGAATGGAGATTGAGGTGATCAATAGGTTTCACAATGCCACTTCTAGATCTGGTGTGCATGGGATGAGTCGGAGGAGGAGGAGGGGGGTCGACATGAGTGGATGGTGGAGGAGTAAGAGGTGGGGAATAAGATCCATCATCAGACAGATGATGAGAAGAAGGGGTGTTAATGGTAGTAGTGGTGGTGGGTCGAATAGTTGGAGTAGGAGGGGGTTTAATATCTGACGAAGGTTGGGAGAGATATTGGAGTCAGATAAAAAATCATAGGAAGGAGGTTCAGTTGGGGTAACTGAGCCATACGGAAAAATGGTCTCGTCGAAGATGACATGACGAGAGAGAATGATCTTTCGAGAGCATAAATCAAAACAGCGGAAACCACGATGAAGAGTGGGGTAGCCAAGGAAAATACAAGGAGTGGAGCGGGGTTGGAGTTTATGGGTGGTGTGAAGACGAGGGAAATACAAGCAGCCGAACACACGTAAGTGGTCATAAGTGGGATGGCACTGAAAAAGGCGGTAGTGAGGAGTGTCATTAGAAATGGAGACAGAAAGGAGAATATTGAGTAAGTGGGCTGCCATATGGAGGGTACGATAAATATTTGGAATAGGAAAAATAGAGTGTCCCGAGGTCACAACAGGTATTGCAGAACCGTTACCGACATAAATAGAGCGTGGATAATGATTATTAGAGACGGATTTGAGTATACCTACATTGGCGTGAACATGATCGGTTGCTCTCGTGTCCATGACCCAACCACTGTTTCCCGGATCATTTAAAGACATGGTGCTAAACAAATTTGGGAGCGATGTGGGTTGATTATTACCGAGCCAGGCCCACGGTTGCTGATTTGGGCTAGAATATTGGATGTGGCCTTGAGGTGTTGGGGGCCTGCTGCCGAGAAGACTTGGGTCGCTGGAAGTTGGCCGGCTGTTATGTTGGTTCGGTAAATAACCTGGGTGAGAAATCTGTGGAGTAAAGGCCCAATTTTGCTGGTGGGTCGGACCAGATGGGGTCCATATTGACGGAAAGGGATGGGGCGCAGGAGAATAACCCCACCCAGTTGGTGTATGGCGCGATTGCTGACCAGAGGGGGTTTGACGGGAGACTGCTGCTGGCGACGCTTGTTGTTGCGACCTCCACTGTGACGGGAATTGTTTCCCCGGTAGGATCTGCCCCCTCCTCCATGGGTTGGCGGCGAAGAAGGGTCAGCAACATGGATCAGAGAAGGCGAAGAGGGGTGATTGTCATGCGATGGGAGAGTGGCGCGGTGGCTGTTCAATCTCGATTCTTCAACCAAGAGTATGGATCACATCTCAGAAAACGAGGGAAGAGGTTTGGAGAAGCGGAGGATGCTGACAACGCTTTCAAACTTGCTTGGGAGTCCGTTTAATGCATGAAGTACAACACTACGATCCTTGACTTTTTCACCGAGGCCCTCAAGCGTATCAGTGATCTTCTTTATCTTTACACAATAATCATGAATAGTCAAGTCTCCCAAGGTTATATTTCTGAGTTCATCTTCTAGTTGCATAGACACCGACTCTTTATCATCATAAAAGAGGGATTGTAGGTTCAACCAAATTCTGTGGGCAGTGGCGTTGATGGAGTAGGCAAAGGTAATAAGTTTTTGTGAAATAGAACCGAAGAGCCATAGTTTCACAAGATCGTCGAGTTCCTTCCACTCCTGGTCCGTAGGAGGTGTATTGGGGGGGGGGGGGGTCGTGTGTGTCATCAATATGGTCAGCAACCCCATAAGCAATGCAGTGTGCATTGAAAAGGTCACTCTAGAGATCGTAGTTGCGGGTAGAGAGATCGAGGATGAGTGGTACATAAGTTTTGATGTTGGTGATGCCGTATGCCTTGTGGGTAGGTTTTGTAGAGGAGCTGCTGTCGCCTGTCATGGAGAAGAAGAAAGAAGCAGCAACACATAGGGGAAGAAGAGGAGAAAGTCGAGAGAAGAGGAGATTGATTTAGGAATAGGATCGGCTAGGGTTAGAGGTTAGGCCTGATACCATGATAATCTGTAAAATCCCCCTCGTATACGACTTCATTAAAGAGAGTATAAATACATGAGGCTACATGGGCCAAATACATACAATGGGCTAAACAATACAAGCCTAAATACAACAATACTAAAGTATATCGTCTAACAGGATATACCCGAATGCACGTTTAAAAAAACTCCTAGTGTTCTTAAACTATGATCCATATGAATGGTGGTTGTGTTTTTTCTTTTTATGGTAAATTAATTATATATATATAAATCATCTAGAAGCATAACGTTTTAGCCACAGTTCCAAGAATCCCTTCAAGTTCAAACCCCATTGATATGGTTACATAATAACTTTATCATAATTAAATTAATCAATTGGTGGTGATCGGCAAAACCTTTAAATATTGAATTAATTAATTAATTATTAATCTTTTCAAAAATAGGAATTTGAATGAATTTATATACATTTAGTGCACTACTAGTAAAAAACGAATAACATTATCACAATTTGCAGTTCAAATACAAGGTTAATTTGATTTCACAATTTGCATTTAGTTATGTTTATAAACTTTGATTTAATAATGCCCAAATTATTCATAAATAAATTTCATTAAAGTAGATTTCAGGTATATCCGAAAATACCCTATCCGAATCATCAACCCGAATACCGGAACTATAAGACCCAAATTGTAATATAGGTCGGGTTTCGGTTACTATTATTTTATGAAAAAACCCGAACTATCCGACCGAAACTACCCAAAACCCGAAAATTTTACCCGATCAACAGGACTCTCATCATCTCCATATCGTTGCTTTAGTCTATCTTTTCAAGATCGGTGTATACTTTTCAATTCAACAAAAACTATTTGAAAAAAACCTAATTATTATATTGTATAGGTATATATATATATATATTTAAATGATAAATCATACGTAATTATACAAAATTAAAATTACATCACAATTCTAATAAAAAATAATGTATTAGTTAATTGTATAGATATTTTATAAAGAATATAAGATAAGATTTATTAATCGAAATCTTAGAGACAGAGGTAGAATGTAATATTTATGATGTTCATACAAATGAACTCATTATTCGTATGCATCTCAAACATGGAGTAATCATGTTAATGAAGTTTACCAGAGCATTTAACTTAATGGTATTTGAACACTTCTCCTATATGATAATATCGTAGAGATCATGAGTTCAAAAGTACAAATGCTAGTTACTCTTTTTCTTTACAATGGCTACATGATTAAAATTATAGATTAAAGCCTGAGAGACAAATCAAGCTGGTCAACTGTCTCACCTTTATACCCATAATCCACCTCTCTTCTCCTTTCATTCGAACCAAACTGTACAAGATGTTCTTGATGTTCAAGACCCATGACAATGGACGGTTGTACCTTTCCAACATGGGTTGAGTTGTTGCAATCAAACCTGGATGACATTTGGTTCCATTCAGATTGTTGATGCCTAGCAGCAGAGCATAGTTCTCGACTTTTCTTGGCTAAGGTTCTTTCGAGCTTGTGAGCATTTTGGTGGCCTCCAAATGCTTGTGGGCTATAGAACTTTCTCCTGCAGTAGCTGCATGAGAAAACACGTTGGTCGGCCATGTGTAAAGAGGACAACAATGATGAAGAAGATGTGTTGAGGTCCATGGTGTGTTCATTTTCTGATCGGTGTATATTGAAGGAACTCATGGCTAGCTATAGGAGTAATTAAGAAGTTGAGAAGTACATATGGTTATAAAGATTGTTTGGTTTATATAGAAATGTTTTGATTTGACTCAAGGGTGGGGTTGCATAGACTAATACTGTGATACATTACATAAGCAAAAGAAAGGAAAACAAAATCGTTTTAGCGTTCTTAACAGTTTATGGAGTTTAACGTTACGGTACTTGGAAAACCATCATCATTTTGTATGCAAAGTTGCATTTGCGTATCACGTCATGTTATATCTTTGATTCAAGAATTATTTATTATGCATTGATTTATTATTAGTATTATCCATAAACCTTTTTAATAGTTTATATATGTTTCAAATAGGGTTGTACTATTTAAAACTTGTTCTATTAACCGCATAAGAAATTTTTTATTATATAATATACTTAGCAATCGCGGGGAAAGAGGTCCAACTTCAAAAGTTCAACCCAAAGTTGGCTAACCATGCCACATCTCAATGAACATCAAGTTAGTTTCTTATTACTCCTAATTCTTTATACATGAATATAACAAAAACATCATAGATTTAATGGACCATAAAAGAATAAATAGAAATTCAATGAATGCAACAACCAACATATGGAAAATTATTACCTCTTGTAAGAATTTGTCAATCTTGTCTTGCAAAATTTAGGATAACCTAAAGAATGTCTAATCATGGGTATCAATCAAAGGGACCATTTGTAATTACATCAAGGCCTCATTCATTGATTGTATTTGTATCAAACATCTTTTAATCTTGTAACATTATTTCCATATTTGGTAGTGTTCCGCTCTTATTAATTCATTCAAAACTATAACGACTGAAATAATGTAACATATACGTCATATAAGTATCCAAGTGATCATTCTTGTCAAAATCGCAATCCAGATCATAGGATCGTACGATCCTAGGTAGGAAAAATGATCCTACCTTCCCTTAATTTATTTTTTTTTATTTATCTTTTTGAAAATGAATTTTTTTTTACCATTTTATGTCTTTTATCATTTATCAATTTACCGTTTATCATTTTGTTTACGACTAATATTTTGAAGTTTCTATAACTTTTGAACGAAAATTTGAATGTGAAAAATATTTTTTTTTGAACAGCTAAATAAATGTTTGCAATATTTTTCATGTTTTAAAATTATAAATTAAAATTATGTTTTATTTTGTGAGATCTTAGGATCCCGATCTTTATCGTACCCTATACCAATTTTCCGTTTATCATCTTCGATCGATCAGATATTTCTTTATACCAATTTACCGTTCCATGTCCTCACAACAATTTCACATTTAACAAACAAGTGAGGAAGGAATTCCGTATGCAGATGACAACGTAACAAGGACATAGTTAATGGGATATCAGTACCCTTGGTAGCTAGGTTCGGCCGAATGGGTAATCTCTCAAACCAAAGCGGTCAAGAAAAATATTCACCAACACATTTCAATGTTCAATGACTTAATGAAGATATTGCCAAAACTTTCATGGCCAAATCTACCGTCAATCCTTTTTTATATCGGTGTTTACAACATAGTTAAAAAAAGATGTTTTGGATTTGTTTATTCGATACCAAACGTAAAAAATTCATAAGTTATTTTTTAGTGTCTGACAAATTGTTCTTATACATATCATGAATAAATCATTTATCAAAAACTCTTTCTATAAATAAATGAATAAGAAGAAATAATTTATCAATAATTATTTATTTAAATCGATAAATACTTACGAAATCAAAAATTCAAAACACTTAAAACTCTACCATGTCAAACCAAAAAAAATAAATTCAATAAACATATCAAATAAGCAAAACAAAATTGAACCACAAACCTTAAAAAAAAATTATAGTTTTAGCAATTATGCGGTTTCGTTTTAGGTGTGGGACTGTTAAAAAAATATTTATGTTAGTAGATCCCCTAATAAAATTTCTTCTAAAAAATTTATGGCATATAAAAAAAATAAATTAAATGTTTTAAATTCCACATATTTTCTATAATCAACTTAACTGAAAATATACGAGAATCTTAAATGAAACCAATGATATAACTACACCCAAAATATAACTACATACATATATCTCATTGGTCTTTTTAACAACACCCAAAATATAATTACTCATTTTCATTTGTGATTTTTCGATGACAATTTTTATCACATATTCGTTAGTTACGTATTCATTCTTTCCTAACTTTAAATGATAACTATTCATTTTTCTTTATTCATCCTTTTGTAGTTTGAAATATGAAAAGATTAATTTTAAGTGAAATATAAAGGACGACTAAGAATTGCCATCAAATCAACTCAAATGAAAAATCATTTGTTTTGGATATAGATGTTAACCACTAATTGAATAGAAGGTTAACCAGAAACTTGAGATTAACAAATTAAAACAAGGTTAGACGCAAAAAATATGGTCATGTTATAATATACAAAAACATCTATGGCCTAGAGGTAAAAATAAATTCTTTTAATTGAGAGGTTATGAGTTCAAGTTTCACTTGAGACATATATGTTAATTAAGAGTATGTTAGTTTGTTGTTTAAAAAAACACTAATAATATAACAAACCAAAGTGTATAACAAAACCCACTACGTTTAAAGTTATGCACCAAGTCTCTCAAAATATTACTTACCAAAATGCAAACATCCTTTAATATTAATAATGTAAAAGTTTATGATTATATATATGATTGTTAATTTTCCTATCAAGCCTCTCGATGTTGTAGATGATTTCAATCTATCTTAGGAAAAAGTAACTTGAACATTTTTATCAATCGATCATACGACCAACATGAGAGAAATAGAACAAGTATCTAAAGCATGGAAGATGATGATTAGGATTAAACCTAAAACTTCATCTATGTATTTTTCATCTTCGTATGACTATCACAAGTATATATATATATAGTACTTGTTTCTTCATTATGTATCTTGTAATATGCATCTGACCTTATTTGGAAACTGATAGGCGAATCCTCATATGCTTCTACTTTCCATGTTATAACTTTACTTGCAACAGTCACAAGAATATAATTTGAATATTAATGGCACCCTGACATGGATCCAATTCATTATTAGTTATCAAGAATACTTGGGTACTAACATGAACAAAAAGTTGATAGGATAGACCACTCCTTAACTTGTCAAACAGTACAATTTCTGATCACTTCGTATTTCTATTTTTGTAACAAGTGGAATATAATGATAACTCGTAATTTTACACCAAAGATGGCCTATAGATGACTATAAACTTAATAGACCGATCATATAACTTGATTTTTATGCTACACGAAACCACTTGCTAAAAATCCTTTAGTCATTTCTATACCTAACTTTAAAAATTGAAATGGATCTCTATAACAAGAACTCCGTGTCATTTTGGTGATTATCTATGTTTCTTCTCGTTGGTATGAAGTGTTGAACTAGGATAATACTTAAAAAGAAAGTCTAATAACTTTTATAAAGGAAGTTTACTAACATTTATATGAGTCTGAAATATGTTAATCAAAATAATGTTATCATATACTCTAAACAATTTGCTTATTAGTGTTGAGTGTGATGCACATACCACGCATATATTTTTTAACAAAGGAAATCATTCGTACATAACACTTTTTTGACGTACACAACAATGATATGTTTATTTTTTTTACGTATTGTGCAACAATCTAAAACATAAATTTTTTGTGCATGACAATAAACTACCGTGTACGAATCAACTAAACATACTAAGGGAGGACAAAGTCGAGGCTGGGTTCGCCGACGGTTTAGGGCGGTACCGTCGGGTCATGGCCCCTTCAATGGCGGGTTCCAACGGTTTAGGGAGGTGAGAGCTCTTGTGTAGGGTGGTGAACCCGCCCCAACCTTTACTCTCATGCATTGAGAACTTTGAAAGGAGATATGACATCACAGCTTCCAATCGAAAATGATGACAAAAAAGTAAGAGAGCCATATGGTTTAAAATAGTTTGATTTTTATGGCCCAAATTTTATCAAATAGACTTTTTTTGAAAATAAGTTTATGAGCATATATATATATATATATATATATATATATATATATATATATATATATATATATATATATATATATATATATATATATATATATATATATATATATATATATATATATATAGGGATAATGACTTAAAAGGGTAACATATTTTTCAGTTTGTACATATTTGAACAGAAATGGAAAATCGAAGTTAATGAAGAACACGAACTCAAGAACATGAACTTCAGTGTCTTCATATCGTGATTCATCTTGAAGATCAAACACCTTACACTTAAATATCATTTTTAGAGAGAGAAATAATGATATATGTTCTTGAGTTTGAATAGAAGAAGTATCAGTTGAACACATACATAATGATCTTCAAGGTTTGTAGATCTTCATCGTCTTCATCTTCTTCCCAAATCAGATGAACATATAGAAGAAATCGATTTTATGTGAGTTGGTTCAAAGGATAATGCATCGACGAACTTGTACATTGTACTGCATTGTTTGTACTTTGTTGACTTCCAAGAACAAAGAAGATAAACACGATGAACAAAATATCTGGAGCAACACTCCGATGATTTTTGGGTTTGAAAACCCTAACTCGAGTTCATCTTAAAGCTCATCAGACATTCAAGAACACAAAAAAAAAGATTTATGTCGGTTTTTAGATCTGATGAAGAACAAGAACACAAATATGATGAAGAACACGAACACAAACCCAAAAGTCATCTTCATCTGTTCAAGAACATACAAACACTCATGATTCTCGATTTCTTATGTGAACTTGATTTCAGATTCGAGTTTAGTGTGTTCTTGAACAAAAATGGAAACATGAATTTCGAGCTTCAAACTTTTCACATGAGCACTTCTACATTCGAGTTCAGTGTGTTCTTGAACAAAAATGGAAACTTGATTTCAAACTATAACTCAAAAACATAACTTCGGTTGAAGATC